AATTTGTCTAAATTCGGGCAAATGTTTACATAGCAGTGGGTACTGAATTGAGTTCGTCAGTATTAATGATGGACCATTGTTCACGACCGCAAGCAATTTCGTCCTCTTGCCTCCTTTTGTAAATATCTCTACTCACAAGGCGGCCTAGCCTCCCTTTAAAGCTCTTACTTAACAAACAAATGTCTCGAAGCTCGAATTCACTCCAAACCAAATTATTAAAATGTTTTATCCGCAAACGTCACAAAAGTGACCACTTTTATGACTAAATGTAAAAGTTTTACATCACAGCCATGGAGTAAAAATTCCACGTTTTACACTACTAACTGCACTAGTTAAATTAATAAACACTTTCCAAATATCAGACGCGTGGTTTTTGTTTATAAGCGTTGTTATAATTTTATTACTTGCAAAGCGCTTTGATTATTTTGTTCATTCACTTGCTGATTATAATATTGCTCTTTACTCTTAATCTGACTATATTTGCGGATTGTGGTTTGGAGTAAAAGTGAATTATTTGTCTCACTACGTTGGAAAAAAAACAACTATTAGCTTAAGAAGTAGTTATAGTTAAGTAGCACGTGAACCACGTTTAAAGTAGAAAATCAAACTTGGCCCATCTTAAAATCAAATAATTCTGACTGTTCTTGAGCTTTTTGCCATTTATTCGGTGTTTTTTTAAAGTTTATTCTATTTGTCCAAATGGCAGCTTTCAGGTAAATTCGCTGATAAAAACTAAAGAGTGTAGCGTGCGTCTGAAGGCTTTAGTAAGGGCCACCCTGAAAAGTGTTTTCCTCTGGTAAACATCCAAAGCTTACTTGCCCTTCAGTAAGCTTGGGATAAACACAAGGCCATTGTACGGGGGATTAAGTCCTCATTCATGTTAAAGCTCGTTCTTTGTGTAAAAACTTGAAAACGTAAAGATTAATTAAAACTATACATATTTCTTGGGAAATAAATGATTCAATTTGAATTTCATCTCATATTTAACTGGTTTAGAGAGAAAAAAATTCCTTTGGTTTGTAAAAATTTTCTTCCGTTTTTGTTTACTTAATTACGTACGGAATTAAAATCGACGGACCTCTCCGCTTTTAAAATGTATAAAGAGCGCATTGCAGGTAAAACCACAGGTCGATATATGCTTTTTGTCTTGACCATTATAATTTAATTGATGTTTTAGACACAATACAAGGTATAGCATTTTTTTCAAATAAATCATTCATTGTTTCTCTGGCAGATTTTTCGTTAATAAATACACCCTCCAAGTTTGAAACTTGGGGATAATACATCACCCACTTTTCAACTAATAGCGAAATTAAAAAACAGTTTCGTCAAGATTTATTGCCAGGGAGGGAAAATTCGATCTCCCTGACGCAAACTAGGTTATATCATTTCCGATCAAATTGAAAATAGCATCAATTTTTTTATTGGAATTTTTCTTTTTCTGTTTCCGGCCGTCATCAAAATAAATTCGTCATAAATTTTCCGTTTCATAAATTAAACATGCTGTAAATTGAGTTTGTGTGGAAGCTTTTCCGTTCGATGCACATATGCTGCTGTTTTGTTTCATTGCAACGTAAAATGTATCTGGGTTTTTTCAATTTTTCCCGAGTATAATTCTCCAGTAATATTTGTGGCAATTTACAGCGAGAATACTTCAAGGGACTTTAAAAATAGTATCAATCCAATTAGAAAATTAGCATTTGAAAATGTGAAACTTCAAAGCGAGCAAATTATTTTCTAGAATTTAGTTCAAATTCATATTCATTTAAATTGAAAATTTTAAATTGTATCGCAGCATTCGTTCGCATTTACAGTTTCTTAAATCAAAGAAAACGAAATTACTTTTATGCCAACTTCTTACAAATGCTCGTCTTTGATCATTCTGTTCATTTCGGATGAGAGAAATCGTGAATTTAACATGCAGCTGCCATTTCAATTTTTATGTTATCCGTTACTCCTTTTCGCTCCTGAGGGTATTATCGACATCACAAGTGTTTTTTAGCTCACCATTTTAAAAGCAAATAAACGAAGATAAACAAATATTAATATAACATGAGCTCGGCATATAGGGTGTTCAATCATCTCCAACATTTTCATTCGAACAGGGTAGTGATTTAATTGAAATTAAAAAATAAATAAAAATACAGGATGTCCAGCGAGTTGAAAAAGTCCATTGTGACCATTAAATGCTAAAATAAAAAAAATATAGGGCATTGATAGATACTAATCTAGTCCATCGCCTAAAATTATTTTCATCTATACATCGTGTCTCAAAAATAAATTACAATACAAACTTGTGTTTTCTCAAATGAAACACCATATGTTTCTTAGTGTTTTTGGATGTAGATTTTTATGTCAATGTTTTTAACTTAAATTTTTTATTGCTCGAGTTTTAAAAATTTTTACGAAAACATGTACTTTTTAAAAATGTAGTACCAAAAACTATGACATTTAGAATTTTTTTCCTACCGCAAAGAAGAAGGTACAAGCTATAAGGTTGTAACATTTTTATAGTGTGTTGTGTTTGTTAAAAGTTCAATAACTTAAAAAATTTTAATGAAACACTCTACTTATTGTTTTTGCATTTGAAAGAATATTAAACTGTCTTTTTAAAATTATTTACTTTTAGGTGTTTGTCAATAACTAAAAAGATATTTAACGTTAAATATTAAAAAAAATATTACTATTGTTTCAGTAACCAAAAAGTGCGCAGTTGCACAAGAGATGGAAGAAATATCACTTAATAATCACATTTGTGTTAAACTGAATCCATTATTCTTTATTTTTACAGTAAAATAATTTGAATTTCAGTATTTTTAACGACTTTTAGAATCTCTGGATAAATCAACGGATAAGTGATCCGTTATGGTTGCAATAGTATCAACAATGCTCGGATATTGGTAGGCATTGTTGCTACAATTAATATTGAATGTTAAATATCTTTTCATTTATCAATTCTAGTCATTAAAAGTTTATTTTTTTAGATAGACAATTTATCAATCTATTAGATGCAAAAATAAAAAATAGGGTGTTCCATTAAATTTTTTTAAGTTATTTAACTTTTAACAAAATTCTTAAGTTATTAATCTTTACAAATGCAAAACACCAAAAAATTGCTACAGCTTTAGATTCTGTACTTTCTTCTTTGCAGAAAAGTAAGAAAAAATGTATTCTACCTGTCTTAGTTTTTGTGTAATAAATTTTTAAATAGTGCATGTTTTCGTCAAAAAAACATCATATTTCTAAAACTAGGCGAAATCGACTAATAAAAGTTTAGCGTAAAAACATTGTTTTAAAAAGCTACATCCAAAAATCTCAAGAAACATACAGTGTTTCAGTTAAAAAAACAAAAGTTTGTTTTGTAACTTATTTTTGGGACATACTGTATGGTTGAATACAATTTTAGGCGATGGACTAGATTAGTATCTATCAATGTACCACATATTTTTTTTTAAATTTCACCATTTAAAAGTCACTAATAAACTTTTTCAACTCCCTGGGACACCCTATATACAAAATAAAATAAAATAGTAAATATTTATTATTTCTGATAAACTTAAAAATCAATAAAATTCAATTTTTCTTTAATTTCACTTTTTTTCTTTCTGAAAAATGAGCAATTTAACTCAGCTTAGGCCAAAGTTCCCTGAAAAAATTAAATAAAGGATTAGCTTTGTTCCGTTCACAATATAAACAAATATTAATATAACATGAGCTATCTTACCGGTATACAGGATGTTCATTTTTCGAGCTCTACCATATTATAAGAGATACGAGGTCAGTTAAATTAGGACAAAGTTGCGTATTTTTATGCTCAACAATAATCTGAAAGAAAATTTAATGTATCATTTTTAGTTTTTGAATTATTGAAAAAAACTATTGAAAAATTTATTGAAATTTATAATTTTTTATTTTTTCAAGCGAAAACTAAAAGACCTAGACCTTTTTAAATTGAACGTTCTTAAAGCACTTTTTTACAAGAAATCAAAATCTGTCATTGTATTTTCCAAGGCTCTCTTAATATCAGAGTTACAACACTTTGAAAAGTCTTTTTGTTCCTGATTACAACGATGTATCTATCACACGATATGATCAAATTTTACATGCTAAAAAAAAGCGTTTTTTCGAAGAGTGTATAGGGGTGTTCAAGGGGTTCAATCATTTCCAACATTCTTATTCAAATAAAGTGTGTAAGTGATTTAATTAAAATAAAAAAAGTAAAACATGAAATAAAATAATCAATATTCTCGGTTTCTGAAAATTTAAAAATCTTGTTTAAAAATATTTATTTTCAGGGAGTTTGAATTTAATAAAATTCAATTTTTCTTTACATTCACTTTTTTTCTTTCTGAAAAATGAGCACTTTAGCCCAGCTTAGACCAAAGCTCTTTGAAAAAATTAAATAAAGCATCAGCTTTGTTCCCTTCATGATTTTAAACACATCCTCTTCAAACTTGTTCTTTATCGCATTTCCAGTTAGTCCAGTCACGTCTCGTTTCGGTAAACTTTCCCCGGTTTTAGAGCAACAAAAGTTACAACATACATCATTTTAGTGTATTTTATAGGGCATAAACATAATGCAATGTCATAAGTTGCGCAAAAATCCAATAATTGCGTGATTAGCATGATAAAAGGCCGCCTGTCAAAATCAGAAGGAAAATTGATATCAGCTACCTTCCACCCTTCAAACTTTTCAATCAATTACTCGGGAAAGTTAATGCCGTGTCGACGCTAAAATCTTGATAATGAAAAGTTTTTAATTATGTTTTTTGTCGCAATTGTGGCATTTCTTGTCGCCCGCCCTTATGTAGCACAAGAAATTGCTTATGGGGCAATATCGTGTGACATCAAAGGAATTACCGACTCCACAACGGCTAAGAGAGTGTCACGAGGCCTGTAATGAATTATGGATTCGGTGTTGCGGGTCTGCACGTACGGGAGAGAAAGATAAACACAGCTGTGAGATTCGCACCAAAGATTCAAAAATTTGAAAATTTTACCGAATTATTTTGGTGGAAGTTGAGGTAACATCCGGGGAAAGTTTCAGATTTGTTCACACTTCACTCACTAGAATCGGCGTGTGAAAATCACTCGAGGCCACCACCGGCGAGGAGCTTTCCACGCGAATTTCGCCACTGTACTGAAAAGCGCCTCTATCGAGATTTTCCGACATGGTGGTAGTGGTAGTGGGAGAGAACAAGCGCAAAGGGATTGCTAAATTATATTTGGTTTACTTGTTACATTTATTTACTCTTTCATTTAGACGTTCTGTACCTACTTTCATTGATAAATTGAATTACTTAATTTGAGAGGACTTGTTGCACAGTCTTCTAGTTTTTAATTTTCTAGCAAGCACTCCCAAGAAAGGGACTAGAATACGAGCTCAAAAGACGTATTGAAAATAATACAAAGATGAATAAAATGATTAGTTTCTAGCAAATTACTAGGGACCCGGTTACAGAGATTCTATTTTAAAGACAGAGGAAGTCTAGAAGCACACGAAGAAAATTGATCTTGATTGAAACTTAATTGAAAATTAAATTCATAGCTTAAAATAAAAATTAATATCTACTGTTTTTTCAGTGTGTAATAAATAAATTACAAATAAATTAGAAAATACGTCGAAAAATTTCGAAAGGTGGTTCCCTAGGTCAAAATGAGAAAAAAAACTACAAAATTTCTACGATAAATCGGTCTTACTTTTAAGAAAATACTCGTTTTTCTCAAAAATAATACAAGATACCTTTTTTAAAGATATTCCGAATTTGAAAAAAAAATCATAAAACTTCTTCCAAAGCAAAATTTTACGCCTTAGATTGACACTAGTTTCCCTAATTAAGGTACACTACTTTTGATATCATCAATAATTCAACGCCAAAAATTACTTTAAATTTATGTTTCATGAGATAATTGGTAAAAAAGAGGTTCGTCCTCTTTTTAAGAGGCTCTAGCTCCCTCAGGAAGCATTGCTAGACATAAAGTCTATTTTTTTTTCTTATTTTGATCTAGAAAACCACCCCCAAAAATCTATCAGCGTTTTTTTTTTGGGACATTTGATTTATTTACAAATTAGAAAATACCTTCAAATAGTTTGTTGCCTGCCTTTTAGCAACTAATCTTAATTTTTTCGGTAAATCTAGTTTTTAAAGGCTGTTAGAATCTAGCTTTAACTTTTAAGCTACGCTTTTGATTCAGTAGTAAAATAAAATCAAATATTTTTTCTGTTTTTTTTTATTACAACTCATAATAATAATCTTTGTTAGTTAAATATGGTATTTACACAAGTCATAATAAGCAACAAAATTATACAGGTTGTTAAATGTGTCGGACCAACTCTTCAATAATGATAGAAAACTTTCAACTAAGCATAAACATGAATACGAATTTTTTTAAGCCCTTTTTTGAGAAAAAAAACAACAGTCAATTTTCAGATTAATATGTAGACATCTTAGCTCTTTTGTTTCCGATGTTGTCGGATTTAATTTATTATTGAATTTGCTAGTTTGTTAAACATTTTGTACAACGTAAAACACAAATTGATGTTTTTTTTTCAACAAGTGTCTGTTCAATTCACTGTTGTACTTGTCCTTCCTTCAAATGTTGAAACTTGATTACGTAGAAATTGGTGTTATAAGACACAGGATAAATAAAACTGTTAAATTCGTCACGACGTTTCGATACTTTATTGTATCATTTTCAGGCTACAAAAATGGTTGCAAACAAACATTGTTATGGAAACAAAATTAACCCTGAAGATACAATAATAAAGTATCGAAACGTCGCAACAAATTTAATAGTGCCATTTATCCTGTGTCCTATAACACCAGTTTCTACGTAATCAAAATTTTGTCTATTCAAACTTGGCATATCTGCTGCTTCCGCTAACTAAATTCAAGAACACATAATCTGAACGGCTAAAAACTTAAGCTAAAATATGACCTTAAAAAAGTTATATCTCGTTGAAACAATTTTTTGTCATACGAACTTTTAACTCAGTTGGATGTTTTTTATCATCAACCAAGAGATGGTATGACACTTTTGAATCACCCTGTATAGCAAAATTTAGTACAATTTACTAGTACTGATATCAAATCCTGTCGGATTCGAAAATATTGTGTAGAAAGTAAAAATTATAAGGGGATCGCAGCTTTGCCGCTCGCTCCTGTTTAAAACTCACACTATTAGGTTTTGTCGAAATTTATTAATAAAATAGGATTAAAACGACACTGTTAAAAACTCAAAATAGGAAAAATATTTCATATAATATAATATATAATAAATTTCATATAAATACAGGGTGTTTACGGTCTTGAGGTTGAAATTTAAATGAGAGGATATTTACGGTAGAAGAAAACTAATACGCTATATAATACAAAAATTCACGTTGTTAAAGGAAATTATTAATTTTACACTATTTGTTTAAGAACTGCTGCTTCGGCTGCAACAATGGCCATTAGTATCATTACCTTGTGTTTCACCGTAAATCATAATCACAACAACCAATTTATTATTTTAATATTTGGCATTACATGTTCATAAATTTGGAGAAAAATAAAAAAAAACGAATCAAACCTATTGGAAACCATTCGCTGAAAAAGATTAAACAGAAGATCTTCGAATTTTGATAAAAACTAACGCAAAAGCAAATCAAATGATGACAGTGTCAAAACTATGAAGTGACTTTTCTCTTTCATTGTCATGGATACGATTTTTTTATCTGTTGCAACAATACAATTTTATCTGAACAAGGAAATAATTCCAGTGACCCTCAAACCGTGTACCAATATTTTGGAGTTAAATAACATTCTTGATAATAACAATTATGTGAGTTTTTTTCTCGGTTACAGTATTTCTGTACTCTTCTATTACTAGGTCAATTTTCAACTCCAAGACTGTAAACACCCTGTATATTAAATTAAAATTAAATTAAAATTAAATGTGAAAAAAAAAACAAGTAATTTGACAGAAGTCTAATGAATAAACAAAATATGAACATATTTCTTGAAAAAAGATAAACTAATACACAGTGTACAGGGTGTATTAGAAATACGTGTGTAAATTTTAACGTGTAACACATCTCGATAAATAATACATCTTTTATATTAGTAATTTTTTAATAAAAGCTTTCAAATTTGATTTAAAATTGGGAAAAGATAACATATCAAAACGTATACGCGCCTATGGATCTCAAATTAAAAATTCCGAGATATTTTCGTTGTGACAGAAACGGAACAACATTTAAAGAACTGCATTGTTGTGATTATTTATTAACATTAAACGACTCGTTTACACAAAATTATGGGGAAAAACAATAAAGACCATTAATAAGAATTTTGCAAAAAAGCTGTTTTACTTGGTGAGTTCTTTCAAGTGTTCAAATTAACATACGTAATTCTGATATACCCTGTATGTTCCAATTGCTTTTTATTAACAGATACGTCAAAAAGTTATTTAGTACTAAAAATTTAAAAGTATTTTTTTAATTCGTAATAAAAAACTGTTAGAAATTAAATTCTTTGATGTTTGAAATAATAAACAAAAAATGAAAAATCATACTTGGCCGAGAAAACTACTAGGCTAGAGAAATCAAAGCTAAAAAAAATTCCTCAAAGAAGAAAAATGCATTTTTTACTAAAAAAAATTACAGTTTTGAAATAATTTGCAAGGTAAAAGTTTAATATTAATTATAATTTTAATTTAATAACTATGTAATAACGGTTGTGTTTTTTTAAATCTATTTTTAAGCTTTGTTTACGAAGGGCCGTTAACTTGAAAAAAATGTGTACAACTAACTGATTCCAAAAAAATTCTATTAAAAAAATTTACCGAAATTTCAGTAAGTAATTCCAAAAATCCATCGAATTCTATTGTAATTCTAAGATAATTTGCAAAATTACAAAATAATTCCTGTAATTCCAAGTTAATTTTAATAAATAGTTCTAGAAATTTTAATGTGATTTTTAAAGGAAATTATCTCCGCTAATTCAAAAAAGAATTCCATTATTAATCACAGATAATTCCAGTAATTTCAATAATCCATCGTATTTCCATTGTTTTTACTATAAAGTTTTAGCACAGATTTAAGTAACATCATAGATTTCTAAACCTTGAATCTGACAACAGCTTGCCCACTTCTCCACTAATGTAGTTTTCACCATTTTGAGAAAATAAATTTAAAAATTTTAAGTTTCACACTTTTAATTAAAAATTGTTTATTTAGAATCAATGTTGGGCTGAGAGTATCCGTATTCATTAATTTCACGGATCAAATTTACAACCACAAGCTAATGGACCTGTTCAAAGGTCACAATCCCTACACCTCCGCAAATTTAGCCCAAGTTCAACGAACGCATTGCACAAAAACTGATCCTCAAACTTATTCACCCTCTTCCCTTCATCGTAAATATTTACGATATACTTAATGAAATGGATGTAAACATAAAACGAGGCTTCCCTACGAATAATGATCCTTAATGAAACAAGAAATCAGCTACTTGAAAATCGTAAAAATTCAGTTGTGAAATTTAAATTAAAATTTTTGTATTAAAACTGTTTTCAATTAATTTTACAAAAGTTTGTGCTCGACAACCAGACTGCATGAAAACCTTATTTGAGTTTGGTAACGAGTTTCATAAATATTGGAGATTTTGTACACCAAGACGGAGTAAAATCTATCATATTGACGATTGTCTCTGTCCAATACAAAATATTGAGTTACAAGAATATAAAAACATAAATTAAATTCGCAGACATAATGTAATCTAATCTTTATTGTTCCAATTTAATTAAATAAATGCAACATTTTTGTTTTATAATAAAATCATAAATTAATGTAATTCAGTGTTCCGGGTAAGTCCAATAAATAATTAAACAACAGATAAAATAATACAATTATATCATTCATTGTTCAAATTTCTATATTATATTATTGGAAAATGTGGTTTTGCAATTATGCCGCACACATTAATTTTTTAAATTTTATCAGCAAAAACTAAACATACACTCCACTTGTCTTTCTCTCCATTTCAAAACAATTTTCCTACTACACTGTTATTTTAACGATTATTGTCCCAATTATAGCAATTTTATGAAGCTTTGCTAGTGACTATAAAACAAGGACATTTAGTACAAGTGCTTGTCACAGAGTTAATTATTACATAAAAAAAAAATCCAATTATAAACAACTCGCTAACCTCGTTTTAATTAACTTTAACAAATCACACACGTTGCCGCACTTAATTACAACTGAAAACCCTAAAATTAATGAAAAATTCAAGTCAACAGAGGTACTCATAAGTCATACCAAACGACTAGGCTAATAAAAACTGCAAGCAGAAAAGCGAAAGCTACGGAAATGGGAATTTATTAAGTAAACAAACCTGGATCATGCAGAAATGTACATATACAGAGTGTCACAAAATTTACCGCAAAGCTTATGATACATTACGGTTTGAAGCACAAAGAACATAAAAAATATAAAAGAAATATTGTCATTTGATCCTATTTATTTTTGTTTATCATTATGCACAATGTTATCATAATTCATAAAAAACAAAACAAAACATAGAAAATAATTCAGTCAAACAAAACTGCTTTTATTAAAAAACTATTACATGTATGTATAATATCTGAATACGCCACTGTTCGTCAATCGACTCCCCAAAGCATTTTACATAATCCTAACAAAATAAAAAATTAAAAAAAGATCAATTATGTTTAGTAGGCTGTTAAAAGCACTAGTTTCGTTTCTTCAAAATCTTGTACTGTGTTTAACAGTTATCAAAAAAATTGCAAAAATTTTCACAAAATAGACAGTGGCGTATCCAGACTTTACTTGTGAGAGGGGGCAAACTGGACAGTCAAATTTTTAACACAGTCTGGTTGATTGAAGTTATTGCAAATGCCTTTTTGTAGTTTTAAAATAGAAAACAAAAAAAAAACACCCTGGTAACACACAGGGCTGTTAACAGGTTTTGACAGTCTGTTTTTTTAAACGCCCAACTTCTTTAATTTCCAAATATTGAGATTTCCGATGTCAAATTTAAAAGATTTTTTTTTTAATAAAAAAGTAAAATGTTTTTATCACATAGCTGAAAGATAAAACTTTTACTTAAACATTTAGTCATAAAAGTGGACACTGTTCTGACGTTGCGAATAAATGTTATTATTAATCTAACAAAAAATTTCACAGACAGATTTTTAAGCATTTTTTACGAGGGGCCGTTAACTTGAAAAAAAATTGTACAGCTAATTTCAAAAAAATTCTAGTAAAAGAATTCACCATTATAATTCCAACATAATTTTTGTATTTACAAAACAATTCCTGTAATTCCAAATTAATTCTAATAGTTCTAAAAAATTTAATGTAATTTCTAATAGTTATTTATAGTTTGTGTGTAAATCGGACGGATTATCTCACCGAGTGGGTTATTAAACCACGAGTGTAACGAGTGAAATAAAGCGTCACGAGGTGAAATAAAGCGTCAGATTTACACTCAAACGAGTTGAATACAACATTTTATTCTTGGAATTAGACTCAATAAGGCTTAAACTTGCTTTAAATCTGTTAAAATTAATCTGACATTTCGTATTGAGAACAACTGTTTGGCAGTTGTCAAAACTTCCTTACACGGGAGAAAAACTGTAAATTTTGAGTGTCGAAGAATAAAAGAAGTTATCTCCGACATTTCAAAAAAAAATTCCAATAATCACAGATAATTTCAGTAATTTTAATAATCCATCGTATTTCCATTGTTTTTAGATTAATGCCTATAATTACTGTAATTCCACAATGTTTCTTCTAATTTTAAACTAGATTTTTCTACGTCTTTACGTTTATAATCTCATATTCATATTCCAAAAATTGAATCCGGCCCTGGAATAATGGAACTTCTCTATTATTCTATTATTATTCACAAATATAAAGTTTATAACACGAGCAGAACGCGAGTTTTTTAATCATTTGGGTATATAATGGCCACTATAGGCGAGATGAAAACTATACTTTGTCTACTTCGATACTGTTACGTAATATGTTACACTTTTACGCTCTTACGTTTTCTATTTCTCTATATACTCACCTTTTCACATTAAAATATTGTTTTTTTTTATTTTTTTTTACTTACGAGTTAATTTTGATTAAAAGTACCGTGCGATCAAATAAAAAATAAATTAGAGTAGGCGTCGATTGAATTCTACAGTTGGCAACACATTGGCTGGAAATCTGAGCTAGAAATTTTCCACACAAACTCAAAGTGCAAATGACCATCCACCGTTTCCCTCTTGTACAGTAATAAAAAATGTCTGCTCTAAAGTGAACATTATTTCACTCAAAAGGAATAAAACGCAAACTAGTCAAAGTTTCCGCTGACATTTGATGTCAAAAATCAGGATTGCCATCTGAAGGACTTTAATCACCGCCTACTCTAATTTATTATTTTTTTGATCGCACGGTATGTATCTCATGATTACATACTAGCTAGACATTATTTGAGGGGCCGTTAACTTGGAAAAAATGTGTAAAATATTCCCTCTAATTCCCAATTTCTTATAATCCAGCAATTCCAGAAAAATTCCATTATTATTATTAATAATTCCAACTAATTCCAGAGTCAACGGTTCCTCAATTTTTCAAGTCCAACATTTTTTAACTGAGGAGTTTTTCTTACTTTTTTATCACTCGCATTAACAGCAATTATTTTACCAAGTGTTCTTTTACTGAAAGTGTACTCTGAAGTGAGTATGTAAGATGAACGTTTAAAGATGTGTAGTTTGATTAATGCAAATTTTACTCACTGGATTTGATTCCTTCGAGAACGTTCTCGTCGATTGGATCAGTCCAGAGGTGAGTTTCTGCATCAACGTTGTCGTCACCTCTCGCAACGTAATATATACTTGACAGTTCTCACTGTCGTTCGTATTTTGTGGATAACTTCCTCCTTGAGACAAACCGATAATGGATTTGTTAAAAAAAAATATGTGTGTAGGTATACCTGCATCAGGTTAAAACACATGGCGATGAGGGCCATTCCCACCATTAGATACATCGAGCAGAAGACAAAACTTAATTCCAAGACTTCGTCGACGAGGTGTTCGTCGTCTCCGCGTCGGTAAATCTTATCGCCGGGGACCAAATCCCCGAACCCGATGGTGCTCAAAGATATGAAGCAAAAATAGAAAGCGTCCATGAATTCCCAGTCTTCCCATTTACAAAACAAAAGGGCGCCGCCGCAGATATATCTGGGAAAAGATGCGAGAGTGATTTAGGGATTTGGGAGACGAGACGATGAAGCTGTAGTCTAAGCCATAGTTTGGGATTATTGCAGGTTTGAGTAGAAAAATCAATAAAAGCGATCAGTTTTTTCGTTTTATTTTCGTTTAACATTCATAATATCCTGGTTGTAAAAGCGCCACCTAGTATAAAACTTAAACAAATTTAAAGTTTTTCTATAAATACAAAAGAGAAAACAAATGTTTGTTTAATTTTTTTTTAATAATTCTTCATGGTTTTATTCATTTTGTTGTTTGTACAGGGTGCGCCAGTACTCACCCCCCAGAAAAAAACGTCATATAAGGTAAGATACCAAGAACATGGAAAAAATGTTAAAAAAATTTTACATACATAAATTTCGAAGTTATGAGAGTTTCAATTTTGCACTTTGCAATTTTGACTCTATTTGTTTCTGTTGGATAGACAATTTTCCAAGTTTTTTTCCTATAGGCTATTAAAAGAGGAAACAAGGAAGCTGTATTCCAAATTGTAGATAATTCTGTTCAATGTTATTTGTGACTTCTATTGGCAAAATTTTTGTACCTTTACTAAATAATTGTAAAAAATCATTAAATGGATATAAAAAATGTTAAATGTCAAAATTTTTTGACAGAGAATTTTTTTAACATTTTTTCCATGTTCCTGGTATCTTATCTTATTTGAAATTTTGCTCTAGGGCGCGAGTTCTGGCCCACCCTGTATGTTAAAAATTTTCTACAACTTGATCATAAAACCAAAATTCCATAAAAATAGATAAGTCATGATAAAACTTGTTTACTTTCATTTTTTAAATAATTTTTCATGTTTCATTAATTTTGTTGTTGTATTTTGTTGATCGTAAAACCAAAGTTTTTAAAACATTAGAAAAGTCATTATAAAACTTGTTTTCTTTTAATTTTCTTAAAATAATTTTTTATTAGGGTTTCATTAGTGTTTTTCTGTTTGTTTTAAATTTATTAAAAATATTCCACAACTTTATCATAAAGTCCAAATTCTAAAAAAAAATGGATAACACATCATAGAACTTGTTTTCTTTTAATTTGTTAATAATTCTTTATGGTTTTATGAATTTTGTTATTGTTTTGTTTGTTTAAAATAAAAGCCAAAACTCTAAGAAACTTAGATAAGTTATCACAAACTTAATTTTCTTTTAATTTTTTATAACTTTTTATTGTTTCAATAATTTGGTTGTTTATTTTGAATTTATTACAACTTTATCCTAAAGCCAAGCCATAGTTGTTACAAAACTTGTTTACTTCTATTTTTTTAATTAGTTATTTTATTAGTTATTTACATTATACGTGCAGTAGATATAAATTTACAGCGTGAGTTTTAATACTGAAGCTCGAAGCGAAACTGAGAGCTTTAATAAAACTGAACGCTGTAAAAAACCTATCGCACAAATAATGTAAAAAACTTTTCTTGTTTCTTTATCATTTCTTTTAATAATTTTTTATGGTTACATTAAATTTTGTTGTTGTGTTTTCTTGTTTACTTTAAATTTATTAAAAATATTCTACAACTGATCATAAAGCCAGAAAAAAAAATAGATAAATCATCATAA